TTTTTTTTTTTGGTCTCATGTTTTCTTTGTTATTTTGACAAACGCAAGGGAAAATAGCTCTGCTAACCTGTAGATTGGGAGTTTGGGTCCGCTACTGGTGCAGTTACCCAGGGAGTATTTCTGTGTATTTCTGTTTTGGTGGAAGATTGATATGGTGCATGCCATAGAATCAAAAACACCATTAGTTTCCAGAGGACACAAGGGGAATATGCAAAGTGCTGTCTTCCCACTAAGTGACTGTTTCCGCCACCTGTTGTCACTTGGTTAATCGGGGTCGGAAAAATGAAAGCCTAGTCCGTTATGGCTGTGAGGGCGAATATGGTAGCGGTTTTGACTCATCTCATTGTTTTGTTTTTTCCAGTCATCAGTCATCAAATGCAGCTTCATTCTGTTTGATTCTAAGCCGGCTGTATGTACGTAATTTTTTATAGACAATTCACATAGATCTGTGCCTTCCTTTGCGATGACTTAACATGTGAATTCCATTGGACAGTTTGCTTTGTCCAACTTATCTCTCCTTTCTGCTACGTACCGAGCATAACTCTTCCTCCTTCAGCATACAATCCCTCAGTGAAGTCTCTGCCTAACAGCGGTTAACAAGCAATAAATAACTTTTTTTGCTGTTCTTTTGAGGTAGTGCGCTCAAAAGATACAGAAGTATTCGTAGCATCAGCGCAGAAGAAGCTGGTAAAAGAAAGGATGAAAATTTGTCGATTGCTGTGGGACTGCAACATAAAGGTTTGAGGCTTAATAAATTAATGCTTTTTTCTCATGTAAAAGCAACTTTATGAAAGATTATTAGGTGGTGTGGAAAAGCTACTTCAAAGTTTTTAATGTGCCCATTAATCCTAGATCTTTTCATGGGAGATTTTTTGAAATGTTTTTTTGATGGCATCGAAGTTGTTTCCCGTTTTTATTTTTTAATTGGTTTAAGTTTATTTTCATATAGGAATAACTTAAGTTTCCTCGCTTGTCGTCAGAGTTTGAAGAGTTTTCTTTTTGATCTTGTCATATATCCCTATCTATAATTTGCCTGGATGTTAAGCTGCTTCTGGCGTGCTTGGGCATTCCCAGTCACAGTGGTTTGTTCCGAAAGTAGCCCTTGAAGAGCGAGTCATTGGCAATTTTTCGTGCCTGCTGTTGATGCTTCTGTGATTCGTATTCTGCCTGGTCGTGTGAGTGGCAGTAGGCTAGTTCCTGTCGGGTTGATATCCATCAAGAATAAAAAATCCGGTTTTGTTCGTGGTTCGTATTCTATAGGGGTTAAAATTTTTCTATAAAATACCATGTGGAACACGCCGTGCAATGTTCCGGTACAACATACTGGTGCTATAATCGATAATCGTGATTTTACGATACAGTGCAGTGGTCTCTATCTTGTTTAGTAGTTTGATAATGAAGCCTCCTCTAACAACTTCAGAAGCTGATGCTAGTCCGGATTTACATGTAACGCCTGCCCTTACGATGTAATTTTTTTAATCCGCTTATTTTCGTTACAAAAAGTAGAAAACAACGAATTTTGAGGCTTTTTTGTATATAAAAAATACCAGTACTGCCGTTGGAATCTCGTATTCTTGATGTTATTGGCATGCTTCCACCCCGGATGCAGCTTTTCCATCTTATAAATCACTGTTTTAAAAAATAGGCGGAAATGACATTGAAAGCAAACCCAAAAATGCTGGATCAAATGCAGTATTGTGAGGAACAGAAAATTCCACTGGCTATAATTGTTGGTGAACGTGAACTAGAAGAAGGCATTTTGAAAATCAGAGACGTGCCGACACGTATTGAAGAGGTTTCGTATTTGTTTATGAATTTGAGTTCCAATTTCAATTTGCTCAAATGAGAGAGAATTTGTGACTTTTTCTTATATACATATATATGTATATATATATACGTATATATACATATATGTATATATATGTGCACATGTGTATGTATGTATATATATGTACGTATATATATGTATGTGTATATATATGTATATATATACGTATATATGTATATATACGTATATATACGTATATACGTATATATATACGTATATATATACGTATATATATGTATATATATACATGTATATACATATATATGTATATATATATGTGT